TAACGACGTATGGGTAGAAGAACTATATAATATAGACCAACTAATTACTGAAAAACGAAGAGGTTGCCCTCCCAAAAATAATGCAGAAAACCAGGAACGTAAAAGAAAGAGGATGGTGTCCCCACCTCCGTTAAATTTCGACGAAACAATGGCTCCGAAAAACGACATCGAAGTACTTCCCTCGGCTCCCAAAAATTTGAGTAAACCTAGGTGAAAAAGGGGACCATCGATTGTTGATAAACTTGAACCATACAATATTGTCAATGATATTTTGGCCATGAATGCAAATGCTATGTTTGGACAACTCCTACAATACCCAAATCAACACAGGAATGTAGCTAAGGTTATGAGGAGGCCCCCTAAGTCTAAAGAAGCAAATCTTGTAGACCCTTAACCAACTCAACATACCACAGCTGCAAAATGTTATATACAAATTGGTGATGATCCCGTGATTGCCGTATTAGATACAGGCGCAGCCATAAGTATCATAACAAAAAGGTTGGCAGACCGATTGGGACTTAGAATTAATGTAGAATCAATAACCGTAGTTGTAACTGCAACAGGAGCAAGAGAGCGTACCTTAGGCAAAATTATGAAAATCAACATCAATATTTCAAACGTAAGAATACCTACGGCACTTCAAGTCTTGGAATCGGTTGATGAAACATTATTATTAGGAACCGATTGGTTCCAAAAAGCTAGAGCCATGCTAGACTTGACGAACAAAAATTAGTTATCAGATATTTAGGAAAAAGGTTTAAAGTACCTATAATGCATACGAATAAAGGTAAGTATAAAAAGAATCCTTATGTTAATAGTAGAGCTAAAAATGTTGCTTTCGAAAAATTTGTGGTATGAATAAAAAAAAAATTGGTCTGGTGCTAAAAAAAAAAAAAATGTCCAAGTGTTATATGTTAAAAAAAATTTTGCTGTTTTCTCTTCTCTTTTTTTTTTTTTTTTTTTTTTTTTTTAATTGTTATTATTTCTTCGTGGGTGCCAGGACACTGGTTACCTGGGCTGTATTGGGTCTGGATTTTTCTTTTCTTACGTTGTTTTCTTTCTATGTTTTTTTTTTTTTCAAAAGCGAGAAAGAGCATCTGCGTTAGAGTGTTTTCGCCCGGGGTGGTGTTCAATGCCGTAATTATATGGTTGTAAACGGAGGATCTAGCGAGCACGGCGG